TAAAATGTGTGCGTGGAAGTATATGTCCCTTAAGTCCATTCTAGCAGTGTCTGCATGCATACGTGTCCCATAAGGTTGTAATAGAGTTCAGAAATACCAATTGGAGAACAGGACTTAGTGGAGATACTTTGCTAAGTAAGGAGATCCCAGTCTGTCTCTCACTAGTTCTCTGGTCCAGTGTCTGCCCCGGCCCTGGGGGTGTTGGGGGAGAGGCTCCTAGTGAGGCGGTCATCTGTGGCTGCCTGTTCTACCGTGCTAACCCAGCAGGGACCACTCAAATGCCTCTGGAGCCACAGAGGCCACTGTCCCCCTTGGCCTGGGCATCCTGCATATGATGCCCAGGTCCAAGACCACAGCTCCTCCTGCGGTGGCAGCTGCCGAACTATCTGGGCTGCAGTGGTAGCAGAAGGAGGTGTGAAAAAGGCGGGTGGAAGTGGTGGAGGAGGGGTGGGTGGTGCTGGAAGAGTTTGAAGCCCATTAGGTAGACCAAGAAAGGAAGGGAAAGATCCAGCAGCAGGGCAGGCTGGCAGGTGGCCAGCTGGACGGCAAATATGTGCCACAGCAGGCAGGCAGGCGCTGGGCGCGGTTCGCAGCGAGGAGGTGACCATGCAGGAAGGGCAGCAGGAGAGATAAAGTTCTCACGCAGTCCCTCAGCACAGCGTGGGTCCTGGGCCTGCCCAGTGACCATCCAGTGAGCCGCCTTCCTATATATAATATGGTGTTCTCACAATGTCCAAATCACACAGCGTCCTGTTTCACGGTTGTATTGTGGATGTTAAGTGAGTCAGAATTAACGCAACGGGACCTAACACAACAGCAACCTGCATTTTAATTATTGTCCTAATAAATGTTAATATCGTGGTAGGAAGTTTGAGTTCTTGTTCTTAGATTAACACTTTAATTAAGAGAAGTGGTGTTTATTTTTATACTTTGATGCTCAAAGGCTTTTAATCACAGTGACAAAATAATAACATACACATGAAAACCATTTAGACACCTGGGCTCACCTACTTCATGTGTTTCCCATTGCTTATGATTCTATATAGTATAATATTTACTATTTGTTTTTGTGAGTTTTGTTATTAACATAATTTAAAAAATAACTTATAATCAACAAATACTCCTCCATGACTGAATATAATAGACCTTCCTCTGGATTCGCTTCTGTGTGTGTGGTCACTTGCTTGCCTTATGGGGCAGTTCTGCTCTGTCACATGGCATTGCAATCAGTGAAAAGCGACTTGGCGGCATCTAAGGACAACAACAGTGGCTGCTGTGTTGATGAGGGGAGGGGTGTGTGTGAAGATTTCTGCTGGATTTTTTGCCCTGGGGATAGGAAGTTGGGGAAGCTTTGAGAGCCTCTTGCAGGCCAAGTTGATTTATGTCACCAACAAAGTAGTAGAGGTCGTAGATTGTGAGCAGAAATGGGCCTTTAAGGATCACCTGAAAGATCTTTGTGAATGAAAGGGTTTCCTGGATGATACTTTATCAAACAAAGTGTAATTGCTTTATGACCTCTTTTAATTTCCTATGAAAGTGAAAGGCTGAAGTGATGGTGTATCAAGTTATTTCCAGATCTTCCTGCTCTTAACAGCAAATACAAATTTGAGAGAAATATGGCATGTGGAGAGTGCTTTTGGAAAGCTAAGCCTTTTCATATTCTATAGTAAATAAAACATGGCTCTTCATAATACGAACAAAGTAATAATTTTAACATTTTCAACATGTCTCCTTAATAATGTCTTAAACTTTTTCTGACATAATAAAATAACAGAATGTAGCATTTAATTAGAAGAGAGCCAAATTATTATTTCAGAAGTAGTTGCCTCCTGTGAGCTTGACTTTTAATATAATTTACTTGACATGGTAGATGAAGATAGGCTTTTGTGCATTTATTTGAAGGTAATACCTCTGGTTTTAATGCTCATTTAATATTCATTTTAGATCTGTGCTGATGTCAGTGTGTGAACTGTAGGCATAGGCCACATGCATTGATTTGTTCCAACTATAAGATCGCGTATTTAATTAAACTTTGGAAAGACACTGAAATTACTTATCTTTTGAAAATTTAATTCTAGAAGTTTTTTCTTTGAGTCTAAGTTTCTTTAAGTTGTAGTTCCAAAGTATTAATTTATTTATAAACAACTTACAATCAGTATATAAATCTCATCACAACCCCCTGAGGTAAGTATTTTATTTCCTATCATTTTGTTATGGGAATTTTCACATATACAGAAAGTTAATAAGAATTATACATTGACTACCCTTAGACTCGGGGAGCTCTGGGGGTGTAGTGCCTAAGGCACTTGACTGCTAACCAGAAGGATGGCGGTTCACACCCACCAGCTACTCCTCAGAAGGAAGGTTGACTGGTCTACTTCTGTAGTGATACTGCCTCGGAAACCCAAGGAGGGGTCGCTATGAGTTGGATCCAACTTGACGACAGTGTTTTTTTCTTTTTACCCTTAGATTCACTAACTAGATTCTGCCATTAAGATTTTGTTATGTTTGCTTTATTCATACTTCTGTTCATGTATCAATCCGTTTTAATTTTTAATGCATTTCAAAATAAGTTGCTGACAGCAGTAAACTTTGAGGGTAGATCCCCCCCCCCCATTTTATTCTAGAGACGTAGAGAAGTTAAGTGAGTTGTTTATGGTCTCACAGCTTGTAAGTGGTAGAATTAGGATTTGGACAAAGCCTTTTTTAACCACTTGCACAGAATGCTAGTTCACACAGTGTTAGTAGTTGCTACCGTTAGTGCCTGTGGCATTTGACTGCTAACCAGAATGGCTGGCTGTTCAAACCCACCAGCCACTCTTCAGAAGGAAGACTGGGCAATCTACTTCTGTAGAGATACTTCCTCAGAAACTCAAGGAGGGGTAGCAATGAGTCACAGTCTAGTCTACTACGGCAGTGAGTGGGTTATTTTAGTCTTGGAGATTCACCATGCTTGTTTTCATAGTATAGGATCTATGAGGTTCATCAGTAAAGAAACCTGGTTAAAGTGTTGATTTGGGTGAAGAGAAGGGCAATGTACCAAATGTGAGTGATCAGCATGGTGGCATTGAGGAAGAGGAAGACAGAGAGAGGTACATGGGAGGTACAGATAACAAAGATGAACCCTTTTGCACATACAGTACTGTGTTGTCAGTTAAGGCAAACATAGATATACGGGTGGATAGATGGGTGGACAGGCTGAAGTATTAGATATGTCTAGGCAGGGTGGAGTGTGCCCAAGACCATGTATAGGGTTGGCAGACAATGTTTCTACAAGTGTATTTGTATGTACTATAAGAATTCCCAGGTATATAGTACAGCTGACAAGGGACAAGATTATAGTCATTTCTTGGCCACAGCCAGCTACCCAGAAGGAGGGAGTAGTTGGACCTGTGGGCTCGGGACCAAAGTCACAGGGAACATCAAGCTCAATTGGCATAACATGCTATACAAAACATTGTTCCACATCCTACTTTGGCGAGTAGCGACTGGGATCTTAAAAGCTTGCAAGTGGCCATGTAGATGCAACGATGGGTCTTTCCTCATCCAGAGCAAAGAAGAATGAAGAAAGCCAAAGATTCGTGGAAACAATTAATCCAAGGGACTGGTATACCATGCAATCCTCAGCCTATACAACTATGAGATCAGAAGAACTAGATGGTGCCTGGCTACCATGGTCACTCAGAGGAGTGTCTTTGTAGGAGATCCTGGACTGAGTGGGAGAACAATGTGGAACAAAACTCACAATCATTTGGAGAAAAAAAAAAGGAACCAAGAGCCTGATGGAACCCTGAAACTGTGGCCCCTAGCTGCCCTTCAGGTCTGGAACTGAACCCACTCTTGTGGCTTCCAGCCAAACAAAAGACAGCATATGAGGTGAACATTTACACTAGGTAGATACACTCTTTGGAGAGAACAGTCATGGGAGAATAGAAGGGCTGTGTATGCCAGAGAGACAGCTCAGGGGGCAGGAGTGCATGGAGGGAAGGACACAGGGAAGAGGTAACTATGGGGAGAAAGTGGGAGGGGAGCTGTTGTATTTTGGGAAATTGTAGTCAATGTCATGAGACAAAGTGTATGTGAGCTGCTGTATGGAAAGTGAATTTGCTTTGTAAACTTTCACCCAAATCACAATTTAAAAGAAAAGAAACCTGTTTAACTTTGTTTAAGTGACCATTTCCAAATTTATTTGACCAGGGCATTCTGCTTCCTATCTTTCCCCCAAACACAGCACCTAACAATAGGATAGGCCAGGATTTAGTGGAAAATACTTTGGAAAATGCTCATTTATGAGATAACCTAATGTTTATTTAGAGGGCTATATATTTCCTCGGAAGGAAGATGGGGCAGTCTACTTCTGTAGTGATACTGCCTTGGAAATCCAAGGAGGGGTTGCTATGAGTCGGATCCGACTTGATGGCTCATAACAACAACATATGTTTTTGAAGAGTTTCTGTTTGTAAATATTGCCCAAGAATTTTAGAGTTGGAAGAAAGTTTAGAGATCACTGAGACCAATGCCTTCATTTCAGAGATAAGCTGTGGCACAGGGTGACGAAATAACTCATTCAAGCTAAGAAGTGCTCATGTACTTAGTCGTAGAAATGAGACTAGAATAGCCTAGAACCTGAGAATGGTATTTAGTGTACACTCAGTAAATATTTGTTGAGTAAAGGAATAAATCTGTCCTGTTTTCTTTCCATACATATAGGCATATTAGAATATTTATTTATTTTCAGGTTATATTGGTCAGTACAGATTAACGTTTTATTTTCACATTAGTTAACCTATGAAATACAATTACTAAATTATTTTTAAAAAATTTATTGTAACATATAACATACAGAAATTGCATGAAACATAGCTGTACAATTTAATAAGTAATTATAAGATGTACTAAGTAAAAAAAAATAGAACATGGCTGGTACCTCAGAAGGCCCTGGGTGTCCCTTCCTATTGCTGATCCCCTTAATTATTTTCTTTTTCTCTTTTCTCTTTTAGCTAATTTAACAGGACATTCAGAGAAGGTGGGGATTGAAAATTTTGAGCTTCTGAAAGTCCTAGGAACTGGAGGTGAGTCTTAGGTTAATTTTTTTTTATTTTAAAGGGAAAAAAAATACTCAATATAACAAAGAATTTATATCAATACAGAAATCAATTAATTTAAAATGCATGAGGGAACTGTCAAAGAACATGAACATAGAGGAAGAAACACGAAAGGCAAAATTTAAGAAATTGGAAAGGATTATGGAATTCTGGTAGCGTAGTGGTTAGAGCATTGGACTGGAAACCGAAAGATCAGTTGTTCAAACTGATAAGCCACTCTGTGGGAGAAAGAGGAGGCAATCTGCTTCTGTCAAGATTTATAGCCTTGCAAACCCTGTGGCGCAGTTCCACTCTGTCCTACAGAGTCATGAATTGGAATCGACTTGATTGCAGTGGGTTGATTTTTTGTTTTTGGTTAGGGAAATCAAATCACCTTGCTTATGTGGTTCTGAATTAGTTCACCCTTTGTACAGGGCATTTTGACAATATTTACTTAAAATAACAAAGGGAAAAAATGACCAGAGCAACAAAAAATCACTGGCATTTATGAAGGGGTTGCTATTTGCCAAGTAGTCTGTGATGTGCCTAACATTGATTGACTCATTCAGTCCTTGTTCAGCTTTATTGATATCTAATGCACATCATTTGTAGGATTGAAAAACTCAAGTGCCTTCAGACACCCGAGAGTAGGGGTTTAATTAAAGTAGAACATGGAACTTTCATACAATAGAATTGAAAACTATTTGCTTGAACAATTTCTCTTAGAAAGATCAGCACGAGGCTGGTCCCCATGAGGCAGAGGTCAAAGATGTCCCAAATGTGCAAACTACCATGCCACTCCATCATTTCAGACATTAACTCCTCCTCCTCCTCCCAATAATTTCCCCAGTCTTAGGGTTCTGTATTTCACTGTAA